GGTGGGACTTTCAAAAATTGGAATACGCATTTAGCAAAGACCACCTGGTTGGTAAACACCAGAGGATCCATCAGCCGGGCTGGCCCTGCCCAATCAAAATTTCCACACCCTGTAAAGTCCCCGTAGTGCACATGCGGAACATGTTAGGGAAGACGGTTTGGGTTAGTCCTGCCTCGGGCAAAGTTAAGCCTGTCCGCGGGATTTCTTTTGCCCAAGGACCTGGGTGTACCTGGTGGGTAACGCGAAAGGATGGGGAAGTCTGATGTGTACCTCATGGGGATTTGATTTTGGGCGAGAATAGTCAATAAATAAATTTTATAAAGTTAATTGCTAAATAACCCCATCAATGTCTGTTATCACTACTATAGTTGTTATATGTTATATCAGTAGTATCATAGCAAGAATTGCCCAGACTAAAGAAAGATGGACTTTGGTGAAGCCTAGCAGAGCACAGCGATGATGGGACTGGACTGGTTTCAACAACTGGCACCCAGCAACTTCATCAAGATCGACATCTCCAACCCGCAGACTGTGGGCACGGGGTGCATCAGATACATCAGCTGTGAGCTCCAGATGCAGCAAGTGACCGCCCATCACCACACATCACCTCTCCTGCCATGGAAGACTGTTACGACAGATGGAGCCCGAAGTCATGGATTAAACGAACTCAACGGACACTTTGGAGGGATGATTCATAAACTAAGGGAATGATATCTGGAGACAGGAGAAGTGGTGGTGATTAACTGGAAAGTGGGGGACCTGGGCATGACGTAGATGGTATGGAATAAGGGGTGGATAATGTCCTGGGTTCAAGCAGGACAGGGTTAATTTTCACAAGGAGGGGACCCAGCCAGGTGGGCTGACCCACCCTGGCCAGACAGAACAGGGTATTCCATACCATGTGCCCTCATGCTGGGTTCTGGTTGGGGGAAAGCGGGGCGGCGGGAAGGCAGTCGCGGCTCAGGAGCGTGCACGCGGCACTGGGCGGTGGTGAGAGTGGCTTTATGCATTCTGTTGTTTTGTGTATTCTCCTTATCTGTATCGTTGTTGTTACTGTTTTTCCCTTTGTTTTGCTTTTCTGTGAAACTGCCCTTATCCTGACCCACCAGTTTTTGCCTTTTTCTTTCCATTCTCCTCTGCACCCCAGCGGGGGGAGGGGCGGCAGAGCAGTCGTGTGCCCCTTTTGTTGTTGGCCACAGCCAAACCATAACAGCTATTAAGGTTTTCCTTTCTAAATAATTAACCAACTGAAAATTAAAAGCAAGCTGTTGCTTAGCATGTCTGGACGTTGATTATGGATAGCCAGGCTTCTTGATTCCTTCAGCCATGGAGAAATGCAGCTTGTAAAGAGATCACTGTTCAGTGACTTCTGATTGAAGACTTCGCTTCTGCAAAAGTTCAATAGGGCTGCTGACTGTCAGTGTTTGCCATGAAAATAAATGTGGCACGTTCCCGATTCCTTTTGCACCTACAACCTTATGGCAGTAAAAGCAAAAAATAGTATTTAATTTTATGTTTTATCTTCTTGTGTGTGTCTGATTGCTCTTTGAGACATGTGGGTTTTTTGTCTTGTTCCCAGAGAGAGATCTCTTTTCCCAGTAGGCATAGCTTGAGAGGTGTTTTTTGTCCCCTCTCCTACTTTGAATGTGTAGGGCACTGATGAGTTGGCTTTGTTGTTACGAATCTGATTCACTCACCCACCAGCAACATCTAGCTTTGGTTATGAGGTTAATACTCAGTGAGGTTAATTAGATGTCGACAAGTAAGGAACAGCAAAGATGGAGGCTATTTAAAGGGGAATGTGTTAATAATAAGAGTATGCCTGCTGCTCTTTCGTTCACCGTGTTGAGCTATTTGCTCAGAATTATTACAGGCAAGAAGCTGGAGCCATGGCTTATCAGAGCATAGTCACATCTGAAACTGCATGTCAGGTTTGGTGGACCTAATCATTACTCGCATAGTTTGTAGTAAAGTGGTACAGAGAAGACTAACTTTTGTATCAATCTCTTAATATTGCCAATTTTATAAAATGCTCCTGTGTTTGGGATGAAATTTAAAAGGAAGCCCGGAATCTCTGTTAAAGTTTTGATGTCATTTTTGTGTAGTAGAGTATGGGTGGCAGACCTTCTCTTACTGACTGAATGCTTGTTTGATGTAACTTTTTGCCTGCAATACCTGCAATTTTGTTCCTGAAGCTTCTTTGGGAAGCACTGGCTGTCAGTGTGAACTGAAATAGAAATACATTAAATAAAGGAAAGCTGAAGGCCACATTTTTCTTTCTTATGCTGAGGTTTATGTAGTTTAGTCAAGAGCTAACATGGTTCAGCTTTGGAGACCATGGACATAATTCCTGTGTGCCATTAATTGTCATTGTTATTGATGAACTCACATGCATTCAGTCCAGTTCTTTGCATATTTTGTAATGTGCTAAATTACTGTTGATCCGTCTTGTTTGCAGATTTATTTTTAATGGGGAGGAAGACAGGTAATAGCTTGTTACACATTTCTTTTCCGGATCCTTTGTGATGATAACCAGAGGCTGGAGAAAATATATGATAGAAGGAAGAGAAATGATAGGTAAAAATGCTACCAATATTTTTTTTTTTCTGTGGTTTGTCTTTCTCCTGCCTTTTGTGTTGAAGTAAGTAAAGATATTTAAAAATTGAAACACAAGCATCTATAGGATTGGCTTTGGCTTACTCTTTAGAGGTGCAAAGAGGGGAACAATTTGATAATATGTTGAGTGTGATAGAGGATTTCACAAGAAGAATTTCTGAGCTTGCCGAATTGCATGCTTTGACAATGTTTCTTTTTTTCTACTTACATAATGGCTACTTAATCAGTTGATTTACGGTGGTTTTGTTTCCTACCTAATAGCAAGAATTGTATTTTAGGATCTGACAAATCTTTCTGGAGGTTTTTATCACTTAGTTTTTCATCAAGGAATTTGATGTTTGCTGTATCCTTATCAGTAGGAAACAACTGATAATAATGAGATATAATATTGTGAGAGAAATTCCAAATAGCAGGATGCATATTGCTGAGGTGTGGATATTTGAAAATAGTCTGTCTTTTATGGTGCGGAAAAAGGCTTCCAATTCCACAGTAATACTAGGCCTTTTTCTATAAAAAGCAGAGGAAGTCGTGGTGAGAGGATGAATGGATGGTTAGTTGTGTAAGGTCAGCAGCAGCAATTTCTCTTTCCTTCAACATTGAGATGGTTCCACACTCAGTAGACTAACCATATTTGCCTGATAAATGCCACTGAATCTGGAGCAGAAGGAATCTCACGACCTGAAGACCTCTGATGGCTGAAGTTGCAGCAGCATCTGCTAGAGCCATAACTAAACAAGTTCAACAGCTGGGATTCTGAAGTCATGCACTTTTGGAGTTAAATATATCTGATATGCAATACAGCATGCTTTTCAGTGAAGTTGTGGATTCTTCTATGCTTTATATCCTGCTCCCCTGCTGGCTAACCATCGGATATGGAAATGGATCATTTTTTAGCAGTTAAGCATGTTTTCCATACCCTACTACAACAGGGCTTTGATAGGAAATGAAGCTGCAAAATTATGATTATGAGGGACATACATCTCAGTTCAGTTAAATTATAAGGAACATTAGGACCAGGTGAGATAGAGTAGCATCTCCTACTGATTAGCCAAAGGATGTTTGGGACATTAACCTTTATAATGGTGACCTTTCTTAAAGGGATAATAACTAGATTAAGGGGAAAAATGATATGCAGGGGTGAGAAACTGAAATTTCTGGTACATGTTTAACTGATGTGTCTCTTTGCAGATGAAATTCTAGCATTGAAAAATAATATCTTGAGTGTGTTTACAAGGGGAAAGTATTCAACAAGTGACCGTAAAGGATCCTCTCTTTTTCTTCCCCCTCTGCTAAGCCCCAGAAGAAGAAGGAGGAAAACCTTTCCAGTGTCCGATCTGTGGTTTGGTTATCAAGAGGAAAAGTTACTGGAAACGGCACATGGTGATTCATACAGGTTTGAAAAGTCATCAGTGTCCGCTCTGTCCATTTCGCTGTGCACGCAAGGACAATCTCAAATCACACATGAAGGTAAGGGAAGTAAATGCTTATAAATATCTTAAGGGTGGGTGTCAGGAGGATGGGGCCAGACTCTTTTCAGTGGTGCCCAGTGACAATGGGCACAAAGTGGAGCATAGGAAGTTCCGTCTGAACATGAGGAAGAACTTCTTCCCTCTGAGGTTGATGGAGCACTGGACCAGGTTGCCCAGGGAGGTTGTGGAGTCTCCTTCTCTGGAGGGGGGTTGGACTAGATGACCCACAGAGGTCCCTTCCAACACCTAACATTCTGTGATTCTGAAGTGTTTACTGGCAATCAAAACACTTGAATCATCAATCAAACCTGTTTCTTTTGCATTTGCAAGAACAAAATTTCTCTAGCTGTACTACTAATGATGCCTTTATTTAAATAAAGAGACTGTAAAAAGAGAAAGAAATAACTTTTTTTCCCTTTGATTGCCTTTCCATTTCATGTAATGTGGAAACTGGTTTGGGTTATGTCAGCTTGATACAGCACAAGCTGTCTGTGACAGATTTAGTTCTGGACCTGGAACTGCCCGAAGCAAGGATGTTAGCTGAGATGTGACACCATGCAAACACAGCAGTGCCGCTTTTCAGGATGCCAGCTAGTATCTGCATGCCATTGCATCACACTAAGTGAGCACTCCAACTTGGCCCGCATTAGCAGAGGATCTCCCCATTACTTTCTATAGACAGGCCTGCAGTTTTAACTTTTTTCTCGCTGTATTTTTTAACTGCAGGCATTTCAGGAGTGTAGGATCCAAAACAAAATGAATGACAGATTATACTGTAATGCTTTGTTTTCAAATGTTTCCATTAAGTTTACTGTTTGCTTTTAACTCAGCCTAAGTTTTAGGCTCAAACTGAAGATGACCTTTTGAAGGAAGAAACTTCTGTGTTGATATGGAAATATATAGAAATATAAAGAAACTCTCTGCTTCGCTGCAGTATTACGTGGTTGCAATGTACAAAGTGCCTGGTCTTGTAAGCTGTAGAACGTGCTTGGTGAAGTAAAAATGGTACCTGTCCCATTAGCCCATGGATGAAGAAGCTGCAGTGCAAAATGTTTCCCTTGTTAATGCAGATGAGCTTTATAAAAACAGCAAAATGTTTTATTATAGTTAGTATTTTGTCTGTTTTAGACAAATGTGTGTGACAGAGTACTAGGCTGATGTGGAGGGGGACAGAAATGCCTGTTTGGCTTTTATATATGCTATTGCAGAGTCTGAGATCACTAGACAGGAGTCTAACATTGCTTGCACTCAAGGAACTATTCCCTTTAGTTAAGTGATTCGGATGATTCCACTAATGACAACAGCAGATCTTGCTGTATTTCGGGTCCTTGCTAGGTCTGAAATCATCCCTCTAAGGTCCAAAGGCTCAGCCCTTAACTCTTCTACTGTGGATCAATGCGCTATTTCCAGGCATCCTTGGTGTATCATGCTGGTCCTTACCGGGTACAAGTGGGTCTGGTGTTTATGTCTCTTTCTTTTAAGGCTCGATGTTCCATGTTGACTGAAGGGCTCGGATGGCCGTCTGGAGTAGCACATGAGTAGGAAGAATGGGAGCATAGCATAAGAAAGGTTTAGGATTTTTTGTTTTCAGTTGTTGACAGCCTGCATGCATCACCTAAAAGCCTGCTATTCCCTGGCAAAGACCTGTTGTTGTCCACTGCTTTGTAAAGGACATCCCTATTATTCCCTGCAGAAATTCTTGTTCTCTGCGTTTTTTACCTTTTTGGAATTACTGTTTGCAGGTTGAGGGCCTATCCCTTCCCTTTTGGCATGGTGATTTCCATAGGTGGTCACGGATAGTATGTTGGAGAAAATTAAGGACTTTTTCACTGTCTCTGTGTGCTACCAAATTGATGGCTGTCTGAAGCCGTTGTACTCGCTTCTGCTCCCCATCTAAGATAAACCCCTTCATTAACTGAGCCCACGTCATCTTAAAACAGACTCCTTGTACAAACATGTAACATGTTACAATAATGTTAATTATTTGGTAATATAGTCATTCTTACTAAGTAATGCTCAGTTAGAGGTCATTGAGGTCAGAGTCAGGTCCAGAGCTGCTTGACACAATGTAAAAGATTACAGCCTCCTTTAGCCTTAATATGGAGATAAGATCTGAAGTCTCCTCAGTCAACGCAGTCCTGTCATGCAGGTCATGACCTGGTGGTCTTTGCTGGTAAAACTGCTCCCTGTTTAAGATGAAGACAATTGTCTTACAAAACTAGATGGCCTGTATTGTGTCTTTTCTCCTTGTTATAGTTTTATGGGTAGATGTGGAGAATAGCAAGTACAAGAGTCTGAAAGATAATGTTTTACCTTAAATTCAATTGGTCTCATACACTTTTCTCAATTGAGTAGGCGATTTGTAAAAATATTTTCTATCACATTAAAACTAAGGCAAGTGAATGAGGTAGGGGCATGTTAGTCATGTGTCCAACAGTGTCAGACATAATTTGAATTCCCTTTAGTGAAAGTATAAATTGATAACAAGATTAAAAATAAAAAATATCAGGTTTCTTTTCTCATTATAATAAAGTGCTGCTTTTAAATACGTATGTAAGTGTGAGAATATAATAACTGACACGCATATAAGCCAACGGTGTTTGAAATGGAATGAATACACATCAGAAATGGTACAGCACAGATGGGAGCTACTTAAGATGCAGTGTTCTGGTTATGCCAGTTGGATGTTTCAGTTGTCTTCGTTGTCCTAGGATCCTCTGGGGGAGCTGCCTGGCCTTACCTCTTTCCTGGCAGGCAACCCACGAAGGCAGAGCTGCCTCTAGCTCTCCATCCCTATGAATCAACTATGGCTGCAGGTGAAGACATATTTTTCAAAACCAAAAAAGCTACTCAAAATTAGGGTACTAGGATGGTGTTTGTCATGCATTATAAGCCAATTTTTATTCCAGGATGTTATCACAAGCCAAGCTTTTTTCCTTTATGCTGCTCTTCGGTTTTCAGGTTTTATGTTCTATTGATAAGGATGACAGGCAAAACCTGTTGAGGTGTTTTGTCCTTAGTGTTGTCTTTGTTTCCTCATAGGCGGCATAAGCCCTGAGGTGAAGCACCTCCTCTTTTTTTCTAGGTTCTTGTAGGCATTTTCCATTGAAACTAGTCATTTAGAGATTTAATTTCCACAAGTGGTTTGTGTGTGTCTCCATATGGGCCTTCCTTATTGTGTGTATCTTTAGGTTAACGAATAATAACTATATAACATAAATACTGTGTAATTTTGTGGTAATTATAACATGTCAAATGGATTGGCCCAGGATACAATATTGCCAGCATTTTTGGTGTCTTGTCCCCTGCTACAGAAAATCTTGACAGAGAGCTGGACTGATTCCAGCCCTGACCATATTCAGATCTGTATGTGCTACCCACCATGTTGATGAAGCGTTCTTCCAGTAAGGGCATTTTGCCAGGACCATCTCACAACTGGAGGCGAGGAAGTGAAAGGCAAGAAGCAAAGCAGAAGGAAAGTTTCCACACAGACACACAATGAACAGGGGAGGCTGAGTAGACTGCATTTTAAGGCACACAGTGTTATCTATAATTGTTATATGGCATTTAGATTCCACAGTGATAGGCACCTCAGAAAAATCCTAAAATAGACATAGTATGGAATTTTATTAGTCTGTTTTGGAGACAAATTATAGTACATGCATAACCACAAGTTTTGGACCTTGTTCCCAAGAATCTGGGGGTAGCATCACAGGACTTCATTCTGATATCATAGTGTGGTTTCCAGGGGTGCTGAGAAAACTGAAAATGAAGCTGGACAAAATGAATGGGTAACTGAGAGGGGTGTCTTGTCCAAGCAGGCAGCAAGCAAGGGTTGTGCTCGAGTCCTTCCCTCTGTTTATCTAAACATATATTCAGTTGGAGTATGTTGTTTTCTTATTGAGAGAGAGTGTCTTATGTACTGCTTCTGCAGAAAACAACGGAAAGGGGTGGTGCAATTCAGCAAGACGTATTCAGGCTTTTCTGTTTTTCCTGGTAGGGAAGCAGGGATTAAATTTACCTCAGAGCAATACCATGAGCATGTCAGACTTTGGCCAATTGTTGTCTTTGGATCATGCACACATCTTTCTCAGCAATTGGTGGACAGATAGTCTGTGAGATCATACAGATACGTTCCAAGAAAGCAACAGGATATTAGCCTGGACACTTGGAAGAGGGAATGAGGAAGAGGAGCATATGGCCAAAAATAATATCTATAAATGTTCCTTGTGCTGCTATATAGACGTAAGGCAGAAATAGATGAGCCAGCTCTTCTAGCAGTGGAAAACAAGATTGTCATTGTGAATATGTTTTGAAGCATCATGGTAAGACAGAAAATGAGTAAAGGGAAGATTAAGCTTAACAGAAAAGTTAGATGCAATGGCAGGCAGGTCACGTGGTGCTCAGCCATGGGACCTTCCTGCTTCTGTTGCTTGTGAAGAGGGACCATGTAGTGAAATATCAGATTATTATTCTTGTGTAATATGAAGAGGATTATAATCAACCTGCTGATTAGGGAGAGGCTGTTAATTGCATCATAGTCAGAATAAGGAAAGGCACTGAAGAATGTAGCCAGGTGCTTGCTACCCCTTAATAATTTGCTGTTCCCCCTTTCTTGCTCAGCTACGGCCAGACAACTGAATAAGCATTCCTAATCCATTTTGGCGAAGTACGGGACAGGTTATTTTAAAACATCTTCATCATACTGGGAGAAGGAAGTTGACTGTGTTTTATGGGAGGGTTTTTTGTTTAGTTTGGTTTAAGCTAACCTTAAGGAGCCTTGGGAGGTGCCTGTGATTCCATTACGTCCCCTCAGCTGAGGGGAGGTAATGCAAACTTGCACAGATTTTCAACAAATGAGATCTGTGCCCTGACTCTCGGACAGGTACAAGTGATTTCAAATGTCTGCTTTTTAATCTGGTCACTTTCTGCGTATGAGACAGGGTAAGACAGGAAATGCATCGATACCATAAATTTTAAAGAAAAGAAGAAAAAAAT